GTCTTCTCTTGGTCCTCCTCGGCCATCATGATTTGATTGTAGCCGGAGTAGGCGTCTAGGAAGCTCAGTAGTTCATGTCCTGCAGTGGCGTCGATCAGTTGGTCGATGTGGGGTAGTGGGAATGAATCCTTTGGGCAAGCCTTGTTCAGATCAGTGAAATCCACACACATTCTCCACCTCCCGTTTTTCTTTTTTGACCATGACAACATTGGCGACCCACTCGGGGTACTTTGATTCTCTGATGGAGCCGTTGGCCGGTAGCTCGTCTACTTCCTTACTGACCGCTTCATTGATAGCGGCGTTGAATTTTCTCCTCATCTGTCGCACGGGCAGATGTAGTGGATCGACATTCAGCTTGTGGGTGGCGATGTCTCGCGGGATTCCCGGCATATCTGAATGAGAAAAGGCGAACAAATCTGCATGGTTAGTTAAGAATTCACAATACTTACTTGGGTTGGCGAGACCTTGCCCGATATAGGCTTTCTTCGTAAGATCAGTTTCGTCCAATAGGACTGGTCGAGATCTTCCACCGTTGCTTTACGGGCTTCCACGATGTCGGGGTCTTTGATGGCGTCCGTTGTCGGGTTGGCCTTAGTCCCCGACACGGCTAATTGCTATGCTTCCGCGCTCGTCCCCTTTAGCTGTTGGGTGTGGGCGCAGTCTTGGGCTATTTTGTAGCATTCTTGTGCGGTGCGTGGCTCGCCTCGAATACTGAATACTCCCCATGGGGTAGGGAATTTGATCACTTGGTAAAGGATTGAAGGGACCGCTCGCATGGCGTGTATCCACGGGCGTCTTATGATGACGTTGTATGCCGTTTCTTGGTTCATCATGTGGAAAGTTGTTTCCAGCGTGACTCCTCCCGCTAAGACGGGCAGTGCTATTTCTCCGGTCGTCCGTTCTACTGCATTGTTAAAATCGGTTAGTGTTATGCAGCGCGGTATTACCCTATCCTCGAGTTCCATTTGTACGAGGACCCTTGGGTGGATAATACAGGCGCCATTTCCGTCATCGATCATGACCCTTTTAACATCCGTATCAGCGATACGTAAAGTGATAACTAAAGCATCATAATGAGGGAAAGACAAACCGTCAGCATCAGACTTATCGAAGGTGATACTATCTTCGAAGTCGTCATACCGTTCATGGGCGATGGTCCGCTTTAGTCTGTGTGTAGTGGCGAGCTTGACGTGATTGATCAGTGACTCGTCGCCGCCTCCGACGATCATGTTTATCGTGCGCGCTGGGGAAGGTGGCTTTGGCGGCCCTTGGGGTTATTCCCGTCCGCGTGCAAAGTTGATTTTCCCTTTGTCACTGAGTAACTCCCTCAGGTATCCCTGGTTCAGCATCCTGACCACCTCTTGCCGTAGGCCTATGCAGTCTTCGATTTTGTGTCCTCGTTCCTGATGGAACTTACATAGGGTGTTTGATTTCCTTGTGGCAGGGTCTGATTTCATCTTCTGCGGCCAATGCACCTTGGTGCCCAGCTTCTCCAGTGCGTACACTATTTCTGAAGGAGATATACAAAAGTTATGGGCGGTTAATAAAAGGGGCGTACCTCTTTCGTTTCGGAATGGGGCGACGTGTCGCTGTAGCGCGTCTGTATGCCTTGGTGGCGGATGGGAGGATCTGGTGTATGGCTGATGTCGATCTCTGTTGGAGCGGGGGAGTTGTTCCTTCATTCCGTCGATCTCTCCTCGTTTCCGAGTGTATTGCCGTTAGCCGTTGGGTTGGCCCATTAAGATCGTCCTCGTCCGCTCGTACCTCGGCGCAATAGGCGTTGTGGATTTCCTCCCATGTGGTAGGGGGATATTTCATGAGGCGGCTCAGCAGCTTCTTGGTTGCCCTCGAACCATCTCTGCTTAGCCCGTTCTGGAAAGCGGCGACTGCCATACCTTCCGATACGTTTGGCAGACTCATCCTTACCCTGTTAAACCTTGCCAGGAAGTCCCTGAGTCCCTCTCCTGTGTTTTGCCTGACGGCGAAGATGTCGTTGACCCTGGCCTCCGCTTTCTTCGCGCCTGCATGGGCTGTGACGAACTTATCCGCCATTTCCTCGAACGTTGATATTGCCTTAGCCGGTAGCTGAGAGTACCATGTTAAGGCCCCTCCTGTCAACGTCTCGCCAAACTTCTTCAGCAGTACCGACGGTACCTGTTCTTTCGATAGGTCGTTGCCCTTCACAGCGGTGACGTAGTGGATCAGATGATCCTCGGGATCTGTGGTTCCGTCATACACCCTCAAGTAGGGTGGCATCTTGAAGGTTTTTGGGGTGGAGTGAGGGGCAGCTTCTTCAGTGTATGGTTGTTCAATGAACCTTCCCACGTCGCGTTTTGGTAGCAACTTGGGAGCACCGGGGATCTTGTCGACCCTCTCCTGATGTTCCTTCATCTGACCGCGGAGCGCCTTGTTTTCATTTTCCATTTCTTCCATCTTCTTTAGGATGGCTGTTAGCGTGCCATCATTGGTCTGTGTCTCGATGGGTTTGTTATTCGCTAGTGTAACTTCCGGTTCGCTCACGGCAGCAGTGGTACCTACCGTTGGTGTACATCCGATGTTACTTTGTGGTGACCTCTCAACCAAGCCACTTAGAGCGCTTGTTAGCCATCTTTCCAGTAGCTCTTTGACCGCTGAGGGTGCTTCCGTAACCGCAGATGTGGAAGCTCCTTTTTCGTGCAAGATCGTCAGACCTTCGGATGGGGAAGGTGAGATCTCTGCACCCGGTGTGATGCTAGGGGTTGCATTCAGGATGCCATCGTCACTGGCCTCGTTGAGAGGGCCAAGGAGATTGGTAGTGACACCCAATATAGCTTTCGACCTTGTATTATTTTCGGCCATTTTCTGTGTTTTTTTTTTGTGTAGAGAGTGGTAGTTGGTTGATCTCTAGGTGGATACTATGGTTTTGATTCTCGAAATCCCCACAGACGGCGCCAAATTGTTTGGCTCAAAAGTTAACAATACACTTTGTAAGCTAAAAAACAATCAAAAGTAGAAAAACGGTAAATCGTAATCAAATATAATAATCCTAGAGATGCAAAGATGATAATATTGTTGCAGATCTAGTATTGCAAAGAGACAGTATGAACTCAATAAGATACGTTCGTTTGAAGTAGAGATAGAGAGAGAAAGCCAGAAAAATGAGAGAGTTGTATTAGATCAGATGCCTCTTTTACAATGTGAAGGTCTCCTTTATATAATAGGAGACCTTCCTCGAAAGAATCAAAAGTTACAAAGATAGGTAACGTCTCCCTAGTGAAGACATTGAGTCCTAAACGATGTCGCTTTTGCCCCCACGGCCGAGTCGTACCCGCTACGTTGGCAGGCGTACACTTATTGGGCGTACCTACTGGCATAGAGATGCTGAGGGTCAAATTTGACCCTATACAACGTTCATGCTTAACAAGATTCAATTTGATGCTCTTACTTTACCATCAAACTAAAACCAGCATAACATGAAAAGAAAGCTAAAAGTAAAGCTCTAGGAATATGGTGTCGCGTTGTAAATTTATAGGCGTGGAACAAAGTGTCGGTTAAAATATAATTAATTACAGTTAAAAATAAGAAGAGAAAAATAAATAAATATTCTTCAGGTTGAGGCGCGGATATCTTGCTCTCTTTAAGAAAATTCAAGCTCACTGCGGTAGCATCTTCACCGGTCCAGCAGTAATACTCTTGGCTTGTCCCCTCCAGGATGCAACAGCCCGACAACGTCATATGGCTCGAACAAACTCTGGACAAGTTGTTAAGTCCAAAGCTCCACCAAAATGAATATCTTCATTCAACAAAGTAATATTCTTTTTGTAGAGAATAAGTTGGAGACTTAGTTTTTTCCTTCTCTTAAACTCTCTTTTCAATACACTAATTTTATTTTTTTCATGCACACTATAATATTTTCCCATCTACAACACAAGCAAGAACCACCACTATTTATAGGTGTAAAATTTCTTCCTTAAAATAAATAACAAAATACTGGGATAGTAAAATTGTAGAACATGGTTGGTGGTTACAAAATTTAATCTTTAGTGGGTAACTAGTGGTAGATTACGGCATTAGTGGTTTCATGAGTTACACCAAAGTAATGACCACTTTCTTGCCAATTTATAACCACTACCTCATAAGAAATAATGCACTTTAATATTATAATTTTAATATCAAAATGCACTAACACCAACATTCTCCCACTCATTTTAATATTAAAATAAGAGAGTTTAGTAGTTGAAGGGAGACTATTATGCATAATGAAGGTGTAATCTGCATTGAACCTCCACTTAGTAAAACAATAATCTCTACTTGAGAGTCACTAATGGTCTCAGACTTGAATTATGACTGCTTAAGGAAAATAAAGTATCACTGCTTACGCATAATAATCAAGGTGTTGATATGAGCTTTATTAGCCAGCACATTACGGCCTTGTGCTATCTCGGTTTTCATGAGTGCTTTTGAGAATAAGCTCAATTCTCATAGGAAGCGGCCTACTTCCACACTCACATAAGTAAAATTACCCCACTCATACGTACAGATTTTTCATTAAGAGTTACAATAAAAAACTACCTCGCAAATTGTTACAAGATAAATGCACTCACACCATAGGGATGGAACAATAACAAATATAATAGTGCATTTCAAACCAAGCCATCATATGATTTGTTCTTCCCATTGAACCTGGTTATATGATCTCTAGTCCCCGGGTTGGATTTCCTCATATATGACTTATGAGTTTATGGGCTTCAATCCCATCCCCTCGATGTGCTCCAGACCCTTTCATATTCTATTTGTTACTGACTTACTGTCACTTTCTGAATGAATATGGACCATGGATAGCAGAGAAGGTAAGGAAAACTTATAATTGAAATAAAACTGTGTCCTAAATGGTCCAAGGTGAATTTGCAACCACTGAACTACAACTTCGATCCTGAGCCATTTACTTCCTCTTCATGTTCAAAGTTCAAATCATGTAAAAGTTATTTCTTCAACATCCAAAAATATATGATAGAGCAAGCTGATGAAGGCACCAGAAATATAAATAATGCGAATATTATTACAATAGAACTTCTTTTATGCTCACACACACACAAGTCAAAACAAAAGGAAGATGTTTTCCACACAGAACTTATTGGTTGTGTTCTATTTTGGACTTTTCTTTATTCAAAACAGAAAAACTATCAATAGAACATCTTCATCAGAGAATGCTTGGAGGTTTTCTGATTGCCTAACCAGTGTTGCATATGCACTCCAATTGCATCCAAATACATTCCACTCCTCCCATGAAATCCAACCACTTTACCTTCTGTTGTTGCTGATGTGAAATATGTTCCTAGTTCCTCCCCAAAGGGACCAAACTTCCTTCTAGTGCTGTGAAAAGTCAGTGATTTTATCACTTTCAACCCCATATCTTTGCTTATAGGACCATAGAATCCAGTGATGCAAGTTAGTACTTCATGAGGATACTCTAACTTTACCTGCAAAATATTAGCCAATTCTTATTCCAACTGGTGAATTAAGTCATTCATACTGACAAGTCCTTGGCGTAACTGATAAAGTTACTGCCATGTGACCAGGAGGTCACACGTTCGAGCCGTGGAAACAGCCTCTTGCAGAAATGCAGGGTAAGGCTGCGTACAATAGACCCTAGTGGTCCGGCCCTTTCCCGGACCCCGCGCATAGCGGGAGCTTAGTGCACCGGGCTGCCCTTTTTATACTGGCAAGTAAGTGATTGCGTACCCTATTTGTGCATTTCCCAGCATTTGCACCATGTTTTACTGACCAAACAGATTGTCCATTTCGATCATACTCTATTTCGATACAGCAAATGCCTTCTGATGATTGTGTTAGGATTATCTGTTTGATCCCAGTGAATACTCCATCATCCCATGGCTTCCCACCATCTCCACCCCATGGACCAGGTCCATATGGTGCTGGATCTTTCACTATCCTTTGCACTCCCTGATATTCAACCAAAAACATTAAAAACAGTCACTTTAGTATTAGTTTTTTCATTTTCCCTTTTCTATGTGCAAAGGGGAGGGGCAGCATTGTCCAGGCATGTGTGTTACTCACTCCGTTCCATTTTATCTGTCTCTTTTCCTTTTTAGTCTGTTCCAAAAAAATTGAGACATTTCTAAAGTTAGAAACTCTTTAATTTAACATCTCAATTCTACACTTAAATAACATACTCTTATAGGAATGACGCGATATGTTGAAGACCACAAGATCCTAAGCGTACTGTTGGTATGTTATGTACATTTAGCTTATGTGTCAAAAATCTTTCTTTTTCAAAATCCATATCCAACCACCATCATATTAAATAAAACAGATGGAGTAGTAGTTAATTGTGTTAGCAAATATCAGGGGACATAATTTCATACCTCCTCAGTTAGTCCTTTCTTTCCCAGTTTAAAAGACCACTGTGGTCTATCATCAACCTCAGTTACAAATGCTGGTTTTGGTTTGACGGATTTGGGGGGAGCCGGTGCAGGTAAAGATGGGACGGCTGCTGCATCTGGTTTGATGGATTTGGGGGGAGCTGGCGCAGGTAAAGATGGGACAGACGCTGCACTTGGTTTGATGGAGTTGGGGATCGAGGAAGGGGGTAAACATGAAACAACTTTTCCTTCCAACACATGAACACCAAGTGCATCAAGAAACAATCCTTTCCTCCCATGAAAGCCAACAATAATCCCTTCTTTCAATTTGGTTGAAAATTGTTGTCCTTGTTCTTCTCCATAAGGTCCATGTTTGCCTTTTGTGGTATGAAAAGTTAGTGATTGAATAATGTTAGGACCCATAATCATGGCTGGTCCATAGTAGCCCGTGATGTGCGTCAAAATCTCTGATGGATAATCAAATATTATCTGCAAAACCGACGAATAGGTATGAATTAGAAATAAGGAAAAGCCTGAATTTAATTCTATAATAACAGGACTCACAACCTTACCTTCTCAGTTTTAAATCCACCAGTACCACCATTTTTGCTTCCCCAAACTGGTTCTCTATTTTTGTCATAGCAAGCTCTTATCGAAACGATTCCCACATTGCGTGACAAGTAAATTTGCCTAACACCATCATAGATTCCATCATCAAAAACACTCCCCCCACTTCCACCCCAGGGACAATATGTGACAACACCCTTGACACTTTTCGACGGGACTCTCTCAATAGGGGCAGGGGTTATAGTTGCCACCTGAAACATATATATTCCATTTTAGAATATGCAGAATCCGAAAAATGGTTGGATGAACAGAAAATTAGCAGCTTTTATCATACCTTTTTATTCGGTCCAGTAGAACTGGAATCATGATCAGAACCAGAAGTTTGTCTTGAAAGTGTGGTTGGAGGTAAAATGTTACTGTTCTCATCTTTGTGTCTAACTGCAACAATTAGATCAAAATTTTTGCCGAGACTTCCTTGTATCATTGAGTATTCATAATTCTCAAACCCTTGGACAACACTTTGTTGGGAATGAACGATGGAATGGTGTTGCTGAGACTGAAGTATAGAATTAGTCGGCAAAGATTTATGAATAGGCTCTACGTATACTCCAATAGCATCAAGATACCAGCCAGATTTTCCATGGAAGCCAACAACTTTTCCACTAGAAATTGGAAGAGTGAAATATGTTCCTTGCTGGACACCATATGGTCCATACGTCCTTTTGTTGCTTTGAAATGTAAGTGATCGCACAAAAACTGACCCCCTTTCGTGTAAGCTACCATAATATCCATGGAGAGAAGTTAGAAACTCATCTGGATAATTAAGCCTTACCTGCAACAAGAGCACAAGAAGAACATCCAATAGTCTTTAATAAAACAACTTAATATGACCAATTCAGTAAATAGAAAAACTGCGCTAAGACATGAACCTTGTCTGTTTTAGCACCTCCACTGCCACCATGCTTCTCGGACCATACTGAGGTTCCATTTTTGTCATATTCAACCTTAAGAGAATCAACTCCTGTTCCATGAGCTATTTCCAGTTGTCTTATGGTGGAATAAACTCCATCATCCCAGTGCAATCCATTGTCACCTCCCCATGGCCCAACCGAAATGGTCTGTTTTCCATGATTCTCGAAACTCTACAAAAGATGATATATTCACTCTCAAGTTCAATCAAATCACTAAACATTAATTGTTCAAAGATGTTTAAGAATTAAGACAAATACTTGCTTACCATAATAATTGAGGAGGCCAGAAGGGAGAGGACAGAAGGGACTCAGATAGTTTAGCATTGAACACAAAAAGGAATATATATAAGCCCGAGAAAGGAAAATTTTAGTGGACAGGGTGGATAATAGTAGAGAATATACCTAGAAGAAGCAAATTCTAGGTTCCACTTTGGAGGGAAAGAAATGAAAGGGAAAGAACTTGATTCCCCAATACATGATTATCTTTCATAATATGCTTTTGGTACTTTTGACCTAAGTTGCTCGGACTCGAGTGCGGGCATCCGATACGGGCACGGATCCGGATGTCGGATTCGGCATAATCCAAATTTTGAGATTCTGGGGTGCGGATCCATGTATGAATACGGGTGCGGGGGTTCGGCTAAAAACATTTCAAAATTATAAAAAAAATAAAGCTATAAAGAGAAGGAGAAAGCCATTCAAGGCCTTCCACCAATTCTCCATCTATATCGTTGCTACTGTCTACCAGAAGTCCGAACTCAGAACATGACCTCTTGAATTCTTGGTTATTCTGAAACACAAAGCAGCAAATATGAGACAAAAGTACTACAATATTGAAGGTATGTCATTTCCCCTGTCTTAAATCTGTTTTATTTTTTAATTTTGAGAAATCAAAATCTCAATTTTCCCCCAAATTTGTCGATAGACTCAGGTCAAAGTATCCGAAGTTAGTTGACCGAATCTGGGACGTATCCCGCTCTCGCACCCGCTTCCGTCCCATGTCGAGATGGGTGCGGCACCAAAAAGGAAGAGTCCGTGCAACTTAGCTTTTGACAAAGGCCCATGCACGTACAGATGTCTGATTATGACATCACCATTTTAGATCAACTTGAGCAAAAGATGGGATCACCTCAGTGACAGAGATTCTAACATGATAATTTACTCAATCTATCTGACTGAAAAAGCAATTGTCCTGCGAGAACTTTCTATGGGAATGGAAATCATCATCAAGATAAAGGGGGAATCATCAATAAAGTAGAAGCTTTCCATGTCCAAAGAATAAAGTCTCACTATGAATTTGACCATTCTGATAATGAAAACAGCATCTCTACTTTGTAAATAATAAATTCTGAGGAAGTGCTTGGCCTCTGGTGATGAAATTGAGATGCACACTCATCCAGCCTGCATTTTTCAAATATAAGAAGTAAGCAAGACACAGATTCTACTACTCAGAGTGGGAATTGGATGCAAGTGATATTCCATTCTCTACATAAATATTAAGGCATCTAGCAGCATTGCGATTCCCACGTGATGTTTTTAAAAATAAACTGCACCGAACCGATACCGAAGAGAAATTGGGATGATTAGGATGTTTCAAAAAAGTCTATTTTTGGTTGTACACTGGAGATTAATCGAAGAGGTTGGTATAGTATAAATTTCATTAAAAGACCAAATCGAGCCAAACTATTGACTGTCTTACTTCTAGTGCATGAACTCACCACTCCTCCATTAAAGGAATATATTGGCAAAAAGACAGCAAGGGAGGCATCAAAATACACTAGGCATAAGCGAATATAGACAGAGCAGCAGCAGACTTGGGACTAGTTTGGTACTCAACGCCATTACTTGAATATTTAAGCAGTCAAAAGTATATTGCTCTGATATCTGTGACATGAATTTGCAAGAAGAATGTTGATTTTAAGGCAAATTAATATTCAAATATATACATTTTCACTGGTGGAAGAGAAAAAGGGGAAAAAGAAAAACTCATTCCAACTGGCTTATCTTTTAACAAGGAAATCAGCTATCAAATCTTTCTTTGCTGCTTATGGAGGAATTTGAACAACTGTACATTTAGCTGGAGGAAAAGATTATCACTTCATCAGCATCTACAATCCGATACATGGTCTATCAATTATTTCATACACCACAGCCTCCAAGCAATTTCATAAAATTTGGGATGCACACAAGCGAAATAATTCCAATACTTGACGAAAATAACACGATAGAATTCTAGCAGATATTGTCGAATAGAAAGAATCTCAAATGACAGAGTATATGGTAACAACAGTACATAAACAAACCATACCAAAAGAAGCACAAGAACGAACCAAAGATATAAAGGTTTGAAAAGAAGAAAGTAGTATCATCAAGAAAGCAACTTGAAAGTAATACCTGAAGTTTAACCTGAATAATAACATTTCAGAATATGCTAATCTCCCTACGAAAACGAGTCTCACCAGTATCTTATAGTAGCTAATACTAAGTCTAAGAAAAGACGAAATGGTCCAAACTAAAAGCCTCTCTATCGTCCATTCCGGCTCAGTGCCTCGGTGTCCCACCCTCCGTCTAAACTCCCCTCATTGCCTCGCTCAGCAGCCAAAGCAATGTGTCCAATGCCAGAACTGAATCGAGCGCCTAGTTCTCCATGTCTCCAGCCAAGTCCTTGAGCTCTCAAACACTGTATTCTTCAATATGGCTCTCGAAACATCTTCTAATCATACATATCATTGATTTGCGACAATCCGCAAATGGTCTTGGTTTTAGCACAAGTCAACGGTCCCTTTAAATGGTCTCCCAGCTATCCGAAGAATGTATCAAAACTGAAAATCTAAACCCCTCCTTATTTCAAAAGAAGAAACAAAAGAACCTTCATATTTATTACATTTGAGCAAGAACAATGTTTAAAGAGTATATATTCCTTTACCAGGAGGATCCTCTTGCATCTATAATATTAATTTAGTCGGGAAAGAAGAGACTAGTTAACAAGGAAACAATTGTCATGTTCTCTTACCTACCAATAACCGCCGACAATCATCTGCAAGCACTTTGGGCCATTCAGTACATTTTAAGCCCATAGCCTAAGAAATAAATTTAGCAGTCCGATCCGACGGTAATCTTCACAGATTCTCAGCTTCTTGTCAATTTGTATCACTTGAGATGGTCATATCAGTTTTCCTCTTCCGCAATGAAATGCATGTTGCAACTATATATAAGATCATTCCGTTCTTGCTGCCTTACCTTTTAGTTTTTATCACACAGTAATGAACCAGATCATATATCGACTAGGCTGACCTGAAGCAAAAGTAGGCACCACACCTTGTACATTTCAGCCCAACACCAACCAAGAATGTCCTCAGGCTGATTTCTATTTTTAGGCCTTCCTAGTGTTGGTAAATCCTCCCATATAATGTATATTGCTGCAGAATAAACTGTGAGGATTATATCAATAGGGAGTTGGGCTAATTTGGGTAAATATGAACTTTACACGATTAGCCCGTTGGATTTGTTATTTATTTTTTATAGGTGATATACATTTATAATATACTAGTCTTAGGGTATCCCATCTCAATAATATGTTTAAAGTAATTATATAAATATTATATTAAAATTATATTTGAGTTATAAAATAAAACTTTGCATAATTCAAATAAGAATAGAATTTATAAGATATAATTAATATTAAAAATTTATATATAGTTCAAATAAGTAAAGATTTCATGCGCAAAATTTAATTAGTTTAAAACGTCAAAATATTACAAAAAACTTAAATGATGATTTTGGAAAATTGATGATATCGAGTATACTATTACTGATATGCGTGTTATTTATAGTTCCATTTATTGTTCTATTAAAGTTCAAAATTAAATGATGACGATTTTGGACTTCCATTTTTAGTTTCTTGCGTTATTGGAGTTATTGTATGGGTCAAAATCCGACCCCACGATAATTAACGGAGTTAATCTCGTCCTGAGCTAAGACATAATTAATGAAGTGGTATGGCCACTTATTCGTAACAGGACTCGACTCTTGTCCGATTTTATCTACGAGGGTACGGCCCAGTCATTTCCCCATGGGGACGGAACTTCAGCATGGCCACGGCCATTTATCGCCAGCTCACAAAGCTCACATCTATAAATACTAAGAGCAGTAGCCCTAGAAAGGAAGGGGGGCTTCTTGACCACTAGTGAGAGGAGAGAGAAACGAGAAAATATAACCCTCTTATGGGAAGGGAAAAACACCATTGTAAGGCTCTGAACCTCTTCATGGAGAGGCAGACCAAACAAATATTATCAATAAAGGTTTCTAATGCTTCTCCCCCTAATTCTGAGTTTTTATTTTAGTTTCTTTCATTTGGTCCAACGGATTATTACGATTTGCTATGATTATCCCGGGATTAATTTATATTGTTTTGTACTCATAAGATGTGTAACATTTTTTGAGCAAACAATTTGGCGCCGTCTGTGGAGATCGAACCCACGAGTTCTTATTTTTAGTTTCTTTCATTTGGTCCAACGGATTATTACGATTTGCTATGATTATCCCGGGATTAATTTATATTGTTTTGTACTCGTAAGATGTGTAACATTTTTTGAGCAAATAATTTGGCGCCGTCTGTGGGGATTTCATAGCAAAATCGCGTAGTTCTTCCCTGGACCAAAAGAAAAAAAGCGCCAAACTCGAAGGGGAGCTCGAAGATCTCAAACAAAGATCTAAGTCCTCACTCTCTCTCCAATCTCTGATAGTGCAAACAAGAAGAAGGGGCCCCCTCCTTTCCTCAGGGGAGGTCTCTGTAAGGCATACGAACTCCGGTCGGAAACCGGCACGGAGATATCTCGAGCCGAGATTCGCCTCAAGACAGCCTATATACCCTGGTTGGGAAGACAATGGGTAAGCCGCTCAAGGTCTCGAATCCAAAACGAGTTCCAGTACTCGATACCCACAATATGGGATTCAGGCTCTGTGCCTTCGTCATCAAGATCGACAAAGTTCAACAGCAGTGAACCGGGACTCAGGCTACGCGCCTTCACCAAAAATTCAACTACGGTTGAATCAAGACAGGCTATGCGCCTTCACCAAAAAGTTCAACTACGGTTGAACC